GCGAGCGACCCGTTCCGCGATATCCCGCGGTTCCTCGCGCAGCTGCAAGCGCTCGGGTTCGCGGGGGTCCAGAACTTCCCGACGGTCGGGCTCATCGACAAGGATAGCGTGTTCAGGCGGAATCTGGAGGAGACGGGGATGGGGTACGACTGCGAGGTCGAGATGGTGAGGCAGGCGCGGGACATGGGCCTGCTGACGACGCCGTACGTGTTTGACGAGGAGGACGCGCGGGCCATGGCGCAGGCCGGCGCGGACGTGCTGGTCGCGCACATGGGGCTCACGACCTCGGGCAGCATCGGCGCGCAGACGACGGGGCTGGATCTGGACGGCTGCGTCGAGCTGATCAGCAAGATCAAGGACGTCGCGAGGCAGGTGAGCCCCGAGATCCTGGTGCTGTGCCATGGCGGGCCGATCGCGACGCCCGAGGACGCCAGGTATGTCATTGACCGAGTGCCCGGGCTAGACGGGTTCTACGGCGCGAGCAGCATGGAGAGATTGCCTGTCGAGGAGGCGATTGCGGGGATCACGAAGGACTTCAAGGGCCTGAAGCCGTCCTCGTGAAGCTTGCACGATGAAATAAAGTTGAGAATGTGGTAAAGACAAGTTCACAGTGTCCGCCTGGCAAGTCTTCGTGCTGTCAACAATATTGTATTTTTGTGATATCGTGAGAACGAGCTCTTTCTGATGAATACGTCTTATATCCTTTGTTAAAAGCAATCTTTGGCTTGCTATTCTTTTCCCAATACCATCCGTGTAGACATGCACTGCAAGTGGTAGTCGCTTCACTTTGCCTGCATCTCCTGGCCCTCTTCACCCGCAGGCTCCTTGTCCAGGAGCTTCTCTTTGGCCTCGTCGTCCGGCACGGGCGGCGGACACGAGAGCTCGCCCCTGAGGATCTCGACGACGGTGACGACGGGCAGCAGCAGCAGACCGACCGAGAGGAGCTGGCCGAAGCTCCAGACGCGCTCGCCCGAGTCGCTGAGCTCGACGGGCGGCGTCGTCTGGAACGCCTGGGCCATGAGGATGACGCGGATGATGGAGCCGGCGGCGATGCCGACCATGGCGACGAGGCCGACGATCTGGATGAGCTTGTAGTAGCGCTGCGCGCGGCTCTGGAGGTACCACGTCGAGAAGCCGAACGTGAGCACCTGGGCGCCGATGATGACAATGGTCCCAGCGAAGCTGCCCGCGGTCGACGTGTCCGGGGCCGCGATGGCGCGCGGGTCGACGGTGCCCCCGGGCGCCCAGACGCAGCCGATGGGCAGGGTGCTGTTGTTGATGCCGTCCTGGACGCCCTCGAGGACGAAGATGCCGTACGCGCACGAGAGGAGCAGGTTGACGGCCATGAGGGCCTGGCGGAGCCAGCGGAGGACAGGGTCGCGCCGGAAGTCGCGGGCGAGGGCGAGGAGCGCTGCGTTGTGCACCGCGCTGGAGAGCACGGAGAGCATCCAGATGATGAAGAAGTGGTACGGGATCAGGGTGGACATCTTGGCGAGCCCGACGCCCTGGAGGCCGATGCCCGTGAGGATCTGCTGGTCCGAGTACGAGTTGAGGAGCCGCCGGCGCAGGGTGGATGCGCTGTCCTTGTTGCGGACATCTTCAAAGACGAGGGATATGCTGAGAATGAGTGAGATGACTGCGGTGATCATGAAAGACAGCAGGACCTGGCCCAAGATTGTCAGCACTGGGCATGATTTGGAAGAAAGAAAGAAAGAAAAAGACTAAAAAAAAGACTGGTTTGTTGACTTACACCAATGCCGGCAATGCCAGCATCGCTGGGCACGCTGGCCGGAGCCGTGGCACATGCCTCGGTATAGTTCATGAAAGTCATTGTGAGCGGGCAGTGACAGAGGAGACAGAAAAGCACAAAAGGCACAGGGACTTGTCGTGAGAAGCAGAGGGCCAGCCCCTGGGCACCGCGGCCAGATAAGTCGAGTCAAAAAGCCGTGTTGAGGATTGCGGTGGTCGTGTGTCCAAGACACTGGCGGGCAGGAGCAGACGGAAATGGGCGGCGGTGCGTCGTGAAAGGGAAGTCGACCCAAGCCGTGTCTCGACGGGCCTGGACGTGGAGGCGGGGGCTGGGCCGCGCCTCTGTTTAAAACAGGCAACAAAAGCCATCGCCATGACTGCCGCCAGGCCCTTCACTCCTTCACTTGGCCGTCCCCGGGGTTCCTGCCTGCACTGCTTGCAGTCGATCCTCATTTGGCCACCCGACGTGGCCAGGGGATCCAGGGCCGCGAGGGTCGGACCTTGGGTTGCCGCCTCCATTGGCTGCGGGCCCTCCGTTCCCACCGATCGCCGGGCGCCTGTTCCTTGCCTTAGCCGGGCTCTTATGCGCTGTGAGTGGGCGCCCAAGGCGACTTGCGTCATTCCGCGCCGCTGTCAATGCACAGCCGCCGTTTCACTTCCCGCCGGCAGTCATGGCTTGGTTGATGTTTGATGGTTGATGAGTGATGAGGAGAGCGAGGCAGCCATCTATTCCCAGCCCCACGCTGCCGCGCTCGGCGGCCACCTGCACCTCTCGTCGCCACGTTTCTCCACCGTGTCAGATATGGTGCGGCCGTGTCTGACATTCCACAGCGCGGCAGACCGACAACGGCATAATTGCATACATGGCCACAGATTCCCATGCCATCCCACCCCGCTTCCTTCACATGGACACCGGATCCGAGAGTGTCCATTTCCATCAGCCGTTACTTCCGTACTTCACCGTGGACCGCCTAGTCACGATTGTTTAAACAAGCGTCCAAAAGCCTACAAAGATCTCATGATGGAGAAATCAGGAAAACAACGATTCTAAAAGCACATGGGTAGTCTAAAGATAAGAGGGGAGTTTCCGTGCAGAGCTTGTAAAGTACATCTGACCACACCCACATGTGGTCGTCGTCCTTCATAAACACGCCCCAGAGTAGAGTTCGATTAGCATTCGCGAGCTGGCCTGTCCTGTGGTCTACCACAAAATGAGCGCACATACTGAGAGGAGCGGCTGTGTAAACAACGGACATCTGTGGCTCGCTTCCATCATCACAAAGGCGACATTGGGTGTGTTTGCGCCAGGGAGCTTAACCGCGCGTCTCATCTCTGATCCAGTCCGCAACCATGAGCTCCGAGGCTGTGTGGCGCTTGGCAGGATCCCACTGCAGCATGCTGTTCATCATGCGGAGGAAGGACGCCTTGTTCTGGCCTTCTAGACGCTCCTCAATCGACCCGAGGGTTACTGGTTTCGGGAGGGGTATCCCGCCTGCAAAGTCTCTTGTGGTTCGTGTTTTCACATATCAGTTCGTCTGTCAACCAGTGATGCAAATGAGGCACCGCTAAATGGAGGAGTAACTAGTTCTAGACAATTCCCGCACGCACCATTTTCTGCAAAGAAGCGGCCCGTGGCTGCGCCCCTCTGGAGCAGACTCGACGGGGGGGGGGGGGGGGCCAGCAGGGCTATCATCTCGGAGAGATGGGCGCGGCTGCGATATGTGCGGTGTTCTGGGTCGTAGCCCGTAAACAGGTGATGACCTTGGAAGATGTCCCAGACCTGTATCGTGTTTCTTTTTCAGTATCTGCTCAAGGTGATGGCATGGGAGCAGAGAATGGACTCACCATGCACCCGGCGTTCCAGATGTCGATTTGATATGACCAGGGCACTTCAAGGATGACCTCGGGCGCTCGGTAGACGTTTGGCTGTACATCCTCAGTGTGCTCCTGATCGCCAGATGCCGCGGAGCCAAAGTCACAGAGAACAACAGCCCCATGTCTTTTCGGCATCGGTAGCTGGCGGCAGGTGTAGATGACTCTGCCGTCCAACTCCTTTCGCGGACTCGGGTTCAGAAGCTCCTCCTGCTCAAAGGTCTCAAACAGGGACTCTTCGATAATGCCAAACATCATGTTGTCGGCTTTGATGTCTGAGATTTGGCCACGTCAGAAGCGTATCGCGAGGGACTTAGACTTGCAGCGGGGTTTACCAGTATGAATGATGTGACACTCGGTATGGAGAAAGTCCAGCGCAAGGAAGAGGCGTTGCAGTGTGTAGGCTACCAATACGGGCGGTAGCCTGGCCACCAGATTGCGATGGAGAAAGGTAAACATGCTTTCCCACAGCGGAGGATGGACCAAGCATCTATGCTCCCCGTCTGGGCCAGAGACGTCGAACGAGTCGAGCAGCTCACGAACAGCATTACGGCCGGGGTGTCTCGTCTTGACCTGGGCCATACGCCGGTACATGTCGAGCTCGTTGTTGTTCTGCGCGCCCATGGAGCGGGCGTGGACAAACAGCCTGAGCGCAACGTGACGGCGGCGACTGAAATCTCGGAACGCCATATGGCGATGGTGGTCAGCTTATGACTCTTGTAATTGGGACTCACTCAGACAGGCCTGGTGATGGAGCAGACATACGCGAGATCTCGTGCCAGCCAGACAGTCGAGCTCGCTCCAAAGCCAAGCTTGCCTACAACCTGGTACTGGTCACTTAGGACGTCCCCGAGGCGCACAGGGTAGTAGCGAGATGCAACATAGTCTGGAAAGCACTCTTCCTTGACCTTGTGGTCGGCCGAGAGCCGAGCGAAGCGGGTGGCCTGGGAGAAGTCCAGCCGCTTCCAAGGACGGCCAGCGAGGTGAGGCAGCCAGTCCAGCCAGGAAACCGCCATCGCTACGCTGAGGGCGGTGATGAGCTGAGACAGCAGAGTCGCGGGCACCGCTTGGTAGACATGGGAAGGATGAGGCGGGCCAACATTGCCGACGTCGACATGCGGGTTGGCAGTCGCTCATGTGAGTCACGCGCGCGGCAGGAGCCGCACGGGCGACTTGTATCATGGGATGTATCATGCACAAAAATCAACATATCACAATGAATCCCCGAGCGAACCGCGAGCGACGACTATTCTGGCAGGCAAACCGAAGAGAACTATAGGATGGCCAGGCTCCCAGGAGACAGCCTCTAGTTGTTTCAGTTTATATGTACCCTATTATTGCGATACTGTCTTCCAACAAACACGCCTGATCCAATCAGCGGTTCTATAGTGTAGTTGGTTATCACTTCGGATTCTGATTCCATAGCTCCTCCAAGCGAGTGCTGCGATAAGTTTCCGGCGACCCCGGTTCGAGTCCGGGTAGGACCTCAACTTTTGCCTGCATTTGACACCCATCGCGGGCGGGTTTTCGGATACTCTCTAGCTTCCATATTGTTTTATTGCTTGGTCTTTATCTGTTTTCTCCCTTTTTTGTGTTGTTTCTCTTTCCTTTATGCTCTCAGCCGGAAAAAATACCCATCTGGGCAATGCACGACGCACTAGCCTCATGTTGCAGTCTCCTTCAGTCACACTGACAGGAGGAAACATGCCGGGAATCTCAAAGCAAACTTCTCTTTCGACCACTGTTCGGCAGCCGCTGCTCGATGCCGGCCGCCGTTAGACTACCAAGGGGTGCCTGCAATGATCTTTGTTCCCGTCTCAGCCTAGTCTCCCTCCAGATTGATCGCATCGACGTGTGCGGTGTCTCGACCAGTCTTCCTGGGCACAGAACCTTTCGTCCCCCCTTGAGAAAAGCAAAAAACTCCCGGCCACGCCCCGATATGCCAACGACTAAAACGCCCGGAATGCACAGCCCGTGCGCAAAAAGCCACCACTAAATGTTGAGGAAACACCTAAATTCACACGCCTGCGGAAGATGAAAACATCCCTTTTTCCTGTCCCCTTTCCAGAGCCTTGCTTGTCACTACGCTCAACAGTTGATGCCTGCTTCAGGTTCCAAAACAAGACCTCAAGCCTTGCGCTGCCGTTTGGCCGAGCGGTTCGGACTGTCCTCCAGGTCGTCCCGCGTGATCTCCTCAGTGCCACCAGGACTGGGTCCTTGATCGGGTGTTTCGGTCTCTACAACTCTGTCACCGCCGTAACCATGAGCGGACAGCGTGCTTCCGACACCACCGCTGCTGACAGCACCTGGGTCAAAGTCGGGCAACGGGTCTGATGGATTCCAGCCGTAGCCCGCAGCGCCAAAGTCGCTGGTTGCGCCGTTGGGGTCGAAGAGTGGCGCGCTGGCGTCGAAGCTGAAGTCGCCCACGCCCGAGCTGCCGTCATTGGTGAAGGCCGACGAGTCCAGGTACTGGTTGAGGTCGATGTCGTCGTTGCCAAAGTAGTTGACATCACCTTCCAGGCCTGGAATTCGGCCCGACGGACTGAGTGGCCCGAGCATGCTATTCAACTGCTCGAGCTTCTCTGCCTGTTCGGCCTGCAGACGCTGCAGCCGCTCGAGCTCCTGGTTGTTCTGCGACATGCGCTCGATGGACGGCGGTTGCACCTCGTGCGCAGCGCGGAGTATTGGTGACAGGCTCGTTGAGGAAGTCGCGGGTACAGGGGACGCGCTCGTTTTCACATGCGCCGGTTGGGGCGTCGATGCTTGTGTCTTCGGCGTGGTTATAGCGGGAGCGGCTGGCGATGCGCTCGGCCGCGTTGCATTTGGAGATGCACTGTGCTTGGCTCCAGACATGATGTTCAGCATGCGATCGCGCTGGTCGTTCGTCATGTTCGGTGAAGTATTCGCCGCGAGATGTGAAAGTCTCGCAGAGTTGGGGCCAGCGTGATTGTTGGCGTTCTGAATGATCTTCATCATCCCTTCCTGCGGATTCGATTCCAGTTCATGCTTTAGGTCTGCCGGCGTAGGGGACTTTTCCGTTGGAGGGTCGAACAGTTCCTCAACAGAACCCATGCGCGGTGGTTGCTGCTGCTGCTGCTGCTGCTGGGTGTTTGGATACACTTGCGGTGGGGCGCCTGCGGAAGGCGATCGTAAGTCCTGGTGCGCCGGGATGGGCGGCAGAAGACGTTGTGGCCTCTTCGGAGTCGGCACCGAGCCTGTGCTGCCCATGTTTGTCTGTTGCTGCAGAAAGTCTCCCAGGTCCACGACACTACCCGAAGAATTTTGGGGCATCTGCATGTTTGGGATTATGCCTGCCAGCAAGTCGTTGAAATTCTGGACGCCACCCTGCTCTTCCAATGACTTACGGTACACGTTTGCCAGGAAGTTCAAGATTGCTGTGATGGAGTTTTCGTGCCGGTCGTGCATGTTCTGGAAGACAACGGCTTGCTGAAAGAGGGTGTTATGCTCGCTCCGCAACCTTTTGATGGCATCGCTGATAGTCCTTTGCTGCTGCTGGAGCACGGCCATCTGGTCTCTGATGACCGATAGATCTTTTCTCTGAAGTGGCCCTCCCGACTCTGGCGCTGGAAGTGCGCGAGTTGGATCTGCTGGACGGTTGACTGGCTGATTCACGCTATTGTCGACCGGCAAGATCTCGTCATCGCTATCACCCTCAATGTCGTCCGCACGCTTCTTGCCGCCTTTCTTCGCGTTGCCGCTCTTGGGTTTGTTGATCAGCCAAAGGAGATTCGGGTGTCCCCTGCGGAAGTACGGGTTGTAGTATTCACTCGGGCTCTTGTTCTTGCGCTCGCTGGCTTTCATGGAATTGTCCGACAGCCCGACCTTCTTGTGGAAGCCGTACATGTTCAGCTGGCGCACAAAAGATGCATAGTTGTTGTGTTTGAAGAGCTCGGGGATCAGCGTCTTGGCGAACTCGTCCTCGTCCAGGACAATGAAAGAGTCGCCCTTCTCTGACCACCTGATGAGCTCGGTGTTCTTGGATTCTTCGAGGAAACTATTAACACGCGAAAGTGGTCAGTGACAGAGCCTTGCAATGCAGCTGGCGGCAGATCAGGGGAGACTTACCTGTTAAGCTTCTGGACAAATGGTGGGATCTGCTTGCGGTTCGCTTGCGCCTCTCTCTTCGCTCTCTGCGCCCTCTCCTCCAGCACCTCTACGTTGTCATTGTCCTCGGTGCCGCCATTGGTCTGAGGCATGACCAGCCCGTCCTCGAAATTCGGCCATGGCTCGCTCTGCGGCTGCACGTATGCGCGGTTGGCCGGGACGAGCGTCCCATTCATCCCCCTCCTGGCCAGTGTGGTTGACGTAGTGGCTGGCGCGGCCTGGGGGAATTGAGATGGTTGTATCGGAGTCGGCATCATCCCGTAGTCGACATTGTTGGTGCCGTCCATGAAATTGCCGGTGTTGTTCCCCGTCCAGCGCATGACCTGGTCTGCTTGGGGGTGGAAGGCCTGGGGCATTTGCTGTGATATGGGCACGCTGCCGGGCGCGGCACGCTTCCTGGAGTTTGGAGACGTCATGAGCTGAGTGTGCGGCGAGAAGCGCGTTGCCTCGGTGCACTCAGCACACGGACTTCAGGGCTGTCGCGCCCGATCGGATGTTGGACGTCGCGCAAATCGTGCGAGTTGGCGGGCGTCGCGGGCTCCGCTGGAGCAGCGTGTCTGTCGAATTGGAGCGTGGACGGTGGCGGCTTATCTGCCACACAGATGCGCTGGAGGGATGGGCCACGGGCGCGTTGGTTGGTGTCGCAGGGTCGCCAGAAAGACTGTGGCGATGCTTGCGGTTGAGTTGAGGCGCGGGAGAGGTGTGCAATTGGGCGAGAGCGCGATGGGCGGACCAGGTCTCGTCCACCAAGGGCTGGCAGCGTCTGACGTGATTGTCGACCTGTAGGAATTTTTGAACTCGGCGGATGATGGGACTTTGAAGCTTTGGGCGGACAGCTCAGTCAGGCCGAACCCCACTACAGTCGACAGCCCTGGCCGGAGAGAGCTGGCTCTGCACGTTTCGCTGTGGGGATGATGCCGCGACGGGAGGGCCCTTTACGCAATACTGTGCCTCAATCGGCGATGGGCGAGGGATGCGAGCGCGTTGCGCAGAACGTGGAGGGCGATGAGGCCTGGATTATGCGCTGCCAGCCGCGACTGCTGGTGCTGGTTGACGAAAAGATGCACGCGCGCTGACGGAGTTGCGGGAGCCTCGGAGGACGGATCAAAGTGGCTGGCGCTACTGGAGGTGACAAGGCCGCGATTCGCAATGACCGATGACTCGCACCATGGATGGGTCGACGTGTCTTTTGCAAACCTGAAGATGCAATCATGTGCCTGGAGGTAGGTAGCCTGGGCATACAGCCGGTTCTTGTAGACGACACAGTGCACGCGCACACCCGCCGGCGATGCAGCGGCCCTCTGAGCAGAGGCGGTCAATCAAGGCTGCATGCAAGTGCCTGGCTCGTCGGCCGGCGATCATGCAGCTCTGACGTGACACTGGCGTCGGCCGGGTGCCGCCTTCCCAGCGCTGGCCGAGGCTGTTCTTGCATCCTCCCGACACGCTATCTCAACTTCACTTACACCATGTCGCTTTAGATACCTTAAGACAAGCACCCAGCACTAGTTGAAGTCCTGTTCAATAACTCAGAAGCCACCGACTGACCGCGTCGTCTCAGCTCTGTTGCATGCAGTCTTCCCCGCGCTCTCCCACGACGCCAATTGCACGTCCCGAGCCAACACTGCCCACATCGTACCGCATCGCACTGCTCGAAAGCACGACTCGGGAACCATCCGTACGGCCTCAATGCCCGTAAACCTCCCATTCCAACAACAAGAGAAAGGCGTTGGCACCACAGCCATGCCTGTCCGCCGGTGATTTTGCTCCGACAGACTGAACCGCCAGCCCTTATTCGAGACGATCCCTGGCCACGCCATACTTATGGACTGGACGTACTCCATGACAACCTGAAAGGCCGCCGTGATTGCACCTCGGGTAGACCTACTTCAGTCTTCCAGAATCCCCGTCTGCCTCCACTGAACCTTGTCTGACGATGAGATTCTCGGAAAGCATGCCGTAATCACGTGGTATCTACCTGAGGCAGTCAGGCAAGGAGGTGAGAGAATGAATCGGCCTCGCCCCGCCCCACAGATCACATCCTGGCAACGGAGCAGAGATGCCCTCAGATGCCAGACCTCAGGTTGTAGCGATCCCGACGACACACCTAGATGCCGAGGGCAGCACTAAGAGCACGTTCGATCTGCAATCCCCCCAGCTCATCGAACTGTTGCATAATCGGCCCGCCCGCTCTCGAGCAAAGAACGGGTAGTAGAGGTTTAGAGTTTGCAAAGGCATGGGTCCTCTCGGGCCGTTCCCCCCAGCTCACGGGACTGTTAACATTTTAGGCACCTTGACCTACAACGTTTTGGTCAGCGCTGCGCTCGTGGACTGGGCACGCCAGATGCCAGGGCGATGGGGACGG